TAAAGCTTTAAAAAGTAAAATCTGCAAACTAAGAATTGACTAGATTATTTTAAAAATCACACTACTGATTTCTACCAATCTGCTCTTTAATACTATTAGTGCTACTGGCAGTCATTATGACATGAAATTTCTCCCTAATAATGCACTTCCTTATAAGCTCACATTCTCAAGAGTAGTCACCTTGTAAAATCACTAATCTAGATTTTGTCGCATAAAACTGTAATAAAACGCCAGTGGTACGCTCTGGGCAAATAACTTTCTGAGGAAAAGATTAAGTTTTTCTAAGCTTATGTTTGAGGATACCACTTGTTGTTATACATGTATCGGCGAAATCTAATCGTTCAAGTTGTTTATGGGTCACAACAACAAATGCAGGTACACTGAAAGTAGTAGTGTCTACGCAAAACATTGACAACACAGATACCTACCTCAATATGGTCCCATTTACTGTAATCCACCATATTTTCGACTGGATATAGAGAATTTGACAGGGAAGAAATGCACACAATCTTTACAAAATATGGCGAGAACCTTTGACGAAGTGAACCGAAAGAGTCTGGTGCGTAGATAATTTTTTTGGAGCGCGGCATCTAAGCCAGATAGAACCGCAATCGTGCAGAGTCTCTTCGTCAGATTGATGAGCGTACGTATTATATTATCGATTTTAAAAAAAGAAATGCAGTAGTGCTTCGTTGATTTCCGGGATCAGTAAATTTTCTATGGGCAGTCCAATTGAGTATCCCTGTGTTTCGGGTAGCCCTGTGCCCAAATCCCTAGTTATATGGTTACCCCGCGTGTCCAGGGAAGGGATGCCCAAAACACAGACAGCGTCAAATACAGCATACTGGGGCTAGTAACAATTTTGCTCTAAAACCCTTTATCCTCTCAGGAAGTGCTGTTAAATCGATTTTATACACAACATTAGTTCCCGTAGAATAATCAGAATCAGCTGATTTCATAAAAACTATTTCCCCGCTCAATGCTTTGATCGCGATGACAATTTGATCGCGATCAGATTATCAATTCTCTCACTAACCCAGAAAGAAACGGTCTGCGACTTACATAGAGTAAAACCGTTCCTGGAAAAATGTAAAACGACATGGTCAGGAAAAGTGCGACAATGAACATATAACGCCATGAAGACAGAGTTTAAAGAAAAATCACAGATTTTTGTCATAAATAAGGTGAGGACTTTGGGAAGCGGGCCGCACACCCCCACCCAATCTTTCTGGGAGTACCGCCCGGGCGGAAGCTTGGCGACACTGTTATTAAGAATTAAAGTTGTCCCTGTTACATAGTTGCATTGCAGTCTATATTTTCTCCATAACAATTATAAGCTTCAGTTAAAAATATCACTACAAACTGTACTACAAAATAAAGTTTTTCCCTTAAACTCTCTTTAAGCAACAACAACAAAAACTAGTTTTATTTGCATTACCAGAAATACATACAGTGTTGCAAGGCTTTCAAAAGCATTTGTAAACTAAAACTAAAACAGCAATGCTTAGCAATTGCAATAGAGGATGATCTAGATCATCTTGCTTTTAGTTGTCGATATAGGCTCGATTTTCGCCGCTCTCTCGGGTCCGACCGCTTTCCTCCCAGAGAAGGTTGAGCGCGGGCTCATTTCCCGAAATCTCTGCTGGTAATCGAGCTAATTTTTGATGCCGGTGCCGTAAATTTATTTGCCATATACGTACAAGCCAAAATGGACTTAGTTTCCCTGATTATTGAGACATGTTTAAGGACAATTCCTGAAATTCCTTGAGGATTATTTCGGGGTCGACGAAAAGAAAAATAGGGATAGCTTCGGGGGCGACCAAGGACCATTTCAGGGTTGGCGTCACTTCGGGGTCGGGATTATTTCGGGGACTGTACAGATATCCATATCGGCTGACTGTATCACTAGACTCACTAAAGATTTAGGGATGGGGGTACCCAAAACTCGGGGACACCCATTCAGTCACGTACTATAAAAACCCGGATACATTAAGGTGGTATGGTACCCTCAAATGGACCAAAAAGTTTGTTTAAATATGGTGAAGAAAGATCAATTGGGTGCTATTGCACTCAAGAAGAGAAATTAAATTTCTAGAGTTTTACTCAAAATGGTTGCTATGGAAACCAGCAACAGCCTTTTGAAGTAGTGTTTTATAGTATTGACGCCAACACTTCCTGCTCTTTTACAAAACAAGATTTGACTATCAAATAAGCATATCATGTAAGTTTCTGTTTTGTTCCGTGCAATGAACCTAAGTTTGGACAGTTAACTCTTATTTTCAGTGCTTTTTACAGCTTTATTTGGAAATAACCTCATTTTTTTACCACACCCAGTGGACAAATCATCTCATGCCACGTGACAGACCTTAAAATGTTACGATTTTTTTGGTTTATGACATCACGACACTATTGGTCTTTGATCAGCCCAAGTGTCGGGATTTCTACTTAAAAACCTTGCAAAGTAGAAATGTTGGCGCGAAGTCAGTCGGTCCAAAAGTAAACTTTTGAGAAAAGTACACTTTAAGTTTCTTACACGAAGTATTAAGC